TCTGATCACCAGCCACGTTTATCCAAGCGTTGTTGGAGCGGCTTACGGACGTTACTGCCCATGAAAGTATTGAACTAGACCAGTGGTTCTTAAACTGGGGGGCGTGCCCCCCTAGGGGGGCGCGAGATGCTCACAGGGGGGGCGCAAGAGGTCACAAGATGGAATCGGAAATTTACATGTAACGGCTCCTGAAACGGTCTCCGCGTTCATTAAAAATACCGGCTTTTTCGTCGTATAATAATTTTTTCCGTCTCGTAATAACTAAAAAAATTCAAAATGTCTCTCTATTTTAATTCATTTGTGTTCAAGGTAACTTGCGGTTGCGGCGACTCATGTCAAAATAAACTCATTACCGATCTAAAATACCACGCCAATCCGCGGACATATCAAAGTGTGATCAACTGCCCGATTATATTTCGTTTTGATATATATTGCACTGATGCGAATTCGTTGACTTCATTAGAAAAATCTGGTATAATATCCCAGAAAGTATACTTAATTTAGTACAATTAAAATACATATTCATCGACTCGAAATCCCCGCGGTACGAATCCTGAGTCTGTCCTCGACATTACGCCAGTCCTTATAAGAGCCAACCCAACTTTGTCAACGGCTATGTAATGGTTTTCGTGTTGAATAAAATATTCATTTAAAATGGTTGCTTTATTCATTTGATTGTGATAAATTAATTCTTGCGATTGCGTCGATAAAATAAAAGCACCACTACTCCAAAATACCACGGTAATCCGCAACCATAAAAATGTGTGGCAAAGTGCCCGATTACATTTTGTTTTGATTTGTATTCTTGCCAATGTCACCATTATGAGGTGTCCCTGCAACTCTTACTCCGCTTTATCGCAATGCTCGATTAATTCCTTAGTCTACGATAAAATCCCACGGAGTAAAATTTATTTCAAGTCGGTAGTTTTAGAACACTACTGGTGTGCCGCAGGCACAAGGAATTCATGAGATTTGCAATGTCTAAGAAAGTGTTTTTAATCTGTCGCGGTCCACCCCAAAACAAAACTCATGGTGTTTTCAGTTTTATTTTTAGTATTTTATAATCTCGCTTTTACAATAAAGAAATATTTGGTTGCAGATTCACTACTTTATTCTATCTTTAGCATCTCGTCGCTGATGATTATATAATAAAAACTAACTCGTTTTCCTCAGAGATGTCATGGTTCTATTCGAAAATAAAAAAAGTAATTATAATCGTCTTCGCGACACAAGAATATGTCGAGGGAAATTTCTGATTTAGGGAGAAAAATCACCAAAATCAAGATTTTTACGGCATAGCGGGCCACGCTTACGAAAACAATCGAGATTTAAACAAAATGCAATCGCAAAACCCCTTAGCGACTTTATTTTTCAGTGGTCAAGGGCCGAGGAAACGTCCACATTAAAAAATGAACTGCTTTTAAATTTACATAAATTCATTTGTACTTCTCCATTTTGTTTGAAACGTTAGGCAAGCCAAGAAGTCTGTAATCGTTGATTATTTTTAACACACAGTAAATAATTTTGGCATCGCTCAATAGTGATGAAGTAAACAATTGATTGAAATTTTAAGTTCTTATGTAAACGTTTAAGCAGAAAATACATTAAAGCATGGGTTCATTGCGTGTTTAGTTTTACTTAAAAATTAGTTTTACTTTACCAGGTATTACAAACTGAGGGGAAAAACGAGAATGTATGATGACCAACCATTATTTGGCTTTATACATACGACAGTGAATGGCAAAGTTGTACTCCGAAGCGTTTTATGCCTAAACAATCTGAACAATGACGATATGAGACCAACACTCTTATAGCGCCATCTTATTAAATAGCAACCTGCCCATCACAAAAGCATTTTTTCAAAGCAAAAATAGGGGGGGCGCGAAGTTTGTAAATATTTTCAAAGGGGGGCGCGGCTCAAAAAGTTTAAGAACCACTGGACTAGACCATTGGTTTTCAAGCATTTTTGTTAAACTCCTTACTTCGCCTATTTTAGAAATCTTTATTCATCCCTATAAAATTACTGGCACTCCGGCAGTATATGCACCAAGATAGGGCACAATCTGAACCGTAACCTGAAACACATATTATGTTCAGGTTGTGCGCCATCTTGGTGCACATACTTCGGGAGCATAAAATTACTTTATTTTTTCAATCTTTGGTGTATTATTAGCTTGTGTGATGCACAAGTCGCTATCCCTTTTATACAGTTCAAGTGGTTTATAATGTGTGCGTAAATAAATATTATGATAATAATATAGAACCAAAGAATAAAAGTAATACTAAGCAGCAAATATAATGCAAAATTCCTCTCTGATTGGGAAACGTTGAATCAGACATTTCGACCAAAGCAGGCTCGAGGATTGAGTGCTGATATACTAAGATCAACAATGCACAAGGCTCGATCGCCGTGATAGAATAGTCGCCGGATTAATAATAACAATAATTCACCCAGTTTCAACCTTTATTTTTTGAGGGGCTGGTCCAGTAAGAAAAAACATTTCTTTTTATATGGACGTGTACATATTCTTTATTGCAATTTCAATAAATTTCTTTTGTTTGGTTCAACCTTCTCAGTATTTACTTCAATGAATATTGATATTGCTCTTCTATGTGGGGGAGGCAAGTTTAGTGGCGACAGTATCGATACTACTCCAAGAAATATTTATTTCCAATATATATTTACACCTGAATGCATTAACAAATAGCGTTAGCAAAGATTCAAATACTTCTAGACAATTAGAATAATTTTCTTCAATTTCACAAATTATGCGAGACACAATTATAATGCTAAAAAAAGCTCAAACTAAATTTGTGACAATTTTTCCCAAATGATTAATATTTGTAAACCACATCTAAGATATAAAATTTAATTATCTGATCAAATAAAATAAAGAAAGAAATCATATATTACATTAATTTTAACATAAGTAAATTAAAATGTAAATAGGATTAATATTTGATTTTCATATTTCCACAAGAGGGGAGGGAAGAGGGCAAATTTTACATATCAGGTTACAACTAAACTTTGATTTAAACTTTAATTTTTCATCAAACACCTACTTCACGTTAATTTTCAACGAGAGAGGGATTTTCAGATGAGGATGAAAGCATAAGTTATTTTTCCAATTTCTCAATTTATTTGCAACATACTTATACTGATAATAAAAGTTGTGAAATGTGGATTGACAATTCTTTGTTAAAATGATAAAAAAAAATACATAAAATACATCTGAGAAACAAAAAAGTAATACAATATCGAAAGAATTCATATATTACACTGATTCTTACTTAAAACGAAAATAAAAAAGTGATTACATTTGTCCATCATGTTCCCACAGAGGGAAGGGGCAGACTGGGGGTGACAATTTGAATTTTTCTGACAGTTTCAACTACTAGAAAGCTACACAACCCAACTTGGATTTGGAAAGACTAATATTAAAGTCTAACTTCAAGTTCGTCTTATTTTTAGAGAGGGAGCGAATGCTTGAAATAAAATGGAAGAATTACTTATAGGTAGTGAATGTATTGATTAGAACGTGTTTATATTGGGAGACAGGAGATGTATCATTGATTATTTAATGCTAACAGTCATCCAAATATAAATATCAAATACAAGACTAAAAATGAAGAAAACGAACCAATAAATGTTGTCATGTGAACATTCACTATGATACGAAACGTAAAATTACGCTGAATTTGTGAGAGAAATGATATCGGCCACAAAGTCAAGGGTTCAAAATCAAACAATTTGTTCATGGGGAGCCTTTTACACTTTTACTATGAATGAAGTACAGGCGGGAACCATTATCGCAAGAGCCGTTAGTATTTACATATAGATCGGACCCCGACAGGTTTATCATGGCCTATCAAATTCAATATACCCTGGGTGAGATGGAGTGTATATGAGAATAACCTTGGAGATCTCCCCTGCACAACACCGATATAGTTATGTCCAACGCTCTAGTCATCATTGTTCATTTTCATCATCAACCTATTATGGCAAAACCTTTTCTAACTTTGGATAACATTAAAGTACATTCAGAAAACAGTTTTCAAGCATAACTATATTTTGAGTGTTGGTGTAATCTTTAGTGACCTGGTTTCAATTTATTTTTTGATTATCTTATACAATTTCTGTTGGAATTCTATAGAAAAGACTGAAAGTTTAAGTTGTTATATTAGATCACTGTCTCGAAAAGTATAAAAGTATACAAACAACAAGAGAGCTACGCACAAATATATGGACACGTTAGACCAGAGCGAATCAGTCTTTACCGGTACCTTTGACGCTACCGGTACCCTCAAAAAAGTTCTGAATTTCCAGTAGCAAGAATTTTGCAGAATCAAAACGTACAGCCAGTCATGACACTGACTAAAATCCGTGTTCCCATGGATAAAAAAAAATTACAGCAAAATTTTAGACGAAATATCAAATTTCATAGAATTCACGCAAAATTTTGAAATACCGTAAATAAAAGTAATAGCCTTCTAGCGAAGAAATTAATCTTTAACCACTGAAAATTTCAAAGCAATTGGTCCAGTATTCGAAGAGAAAAGCGATTTTTTAAAAACTTGTCAAAGAACAAGAACAACAACATAATATTGAAACGATCGTTATGGCCACTAGACGTGTCCAATAATATGGTAACAACGGAAAACACTTGTAGCTCATTTAAATTTTAAATTTTGGTTAAATGTTTGGCTGATCTCACAAGGATTTCTATTGTTCTACGTAAGAATTACATCTTCGGCAAAGCGTTGTTCAGAGTGAAAATATAAAGGATCGACAACAGTGACGGCTTTAGAAGACTCATTCGTATTAGGTTTTACAAAAAAAAATGTACAGACTGAAATCATAATTCTTCATTTTTACGATTTGGCAAGAATTCTTGTATTGGTTCCCTTAGCCATATTTTAATAACTTTCCATATTGATTGAGAAGTTTCTCCATCTTGATTTATTTGTCGGACAGTTTGCTATAACAGTTAGTTGGAAGTTCAAATTTCACACAAGACGTAGCTTTTATTATCTAAGTAGTTGTAAATATGTTGATCTGAGTTTGTTGTATCTTTTCGAATATCGATCAACATGTTTGTGTAACCAGAGTGATTCTGCCCATTGAGTGGAAACCCATTGGACCATTTGAAACTAATTGATGATATCTCAGTTTCGTTGCGTAAACGAAGAATCTGATTCTAAAAGAAAGAAGTTGAAAATATTATTTGTTCAATCATCAAAACAATTTGATTACATACAAAAGTTATGAAATTTGTCAACTTTTTCTCAATATATTGGCATAATATGTCAAAGATAACGTAGAATAAGAAATAGGTTAATAAATATCAAATGTTCAATTACTAATAAAGTATGTAAATAATTAATTTCATAGATTCTCTTAATTTTCCCCTTACTATATTGACATCCTTGTGCAAAGATATGGGTTCGAGTCATAGTTATCCAGTTATCCGAAGTTATCTAAACCAGTATTAGATAAATGAAACAACATCCGATATGGAATGATAACGGAGCTACCGATCTCCCTATGTCTGAGTGAAGTTTCACGCAGAGCCTAATCAGGAGCGAATGTGACGTCATAACTATTATTATGACGTCACAACTTACTTTTTAGGATTCAAACAAAGTTAAACAATATGTGCGGTTAGGAGAAATACTGACAATACTTTTATATCCAACTCACAATAGGGTCGTATGTCATGCCGAGATGAAATAGTTTCCAAGAATGCCCGCCCATCTTGTTGTCACGAATGAATGCCATTATTTTGTCCATGTGATCTTGGTTGTATATATTTGCTAATTCTGCTCCGAGTTGCTGACATTTGACGATCGCTGATGCTTTATAAACCTCTTCAGATGCCAACGGTATGAATACTTTTCCGTCATAGCGCATGATAACTGTGATTTAAATAATTTACAATTGTTAAATCATATGGATTGATATAAATGTGTCGTCGTACATTTGCATATCTAGTCACTGTTGGTAGTTTATTAAAAATATATCGATTGTCAATGAAACAAACCCTGGATGAGATGCGGTGCAATGTCAGATTCATGCTTTGAAAAGATGACTTGAGTATATGAAGGTAAATGGTAGAATTTGAACCGTGTTGTGCTGCATTAAAGATTCTGGTTTTTGTTAGTTGGCATGTATATTTGCATATACAGTCAATCTTGTGAATTGATTGGGTAAATATGCGAGTTATCAACGTTTTATGACGAGGGAACTACGAGCAATTTGATGAATTTTTTTTTAGTTTTGGAAATGATTTAAAATTATACCTTACCCAGCATATCACCCAGGGTGCAATGAATTGGGTAGGCGATACCGAATTGAGAATATTCCCGTTCTCCCGAGAAATGGTTTCTCATTATCGAGCGGTGGGATCTGTAACAAAGCCTTATTTGGAGTGGAATATGTAAATACGTTGTATAATACAACAATAAAATTTTTCTAATGTTCCATACGCTTAAATATAAAATCTGACAATTTGGAATTGAACATAAAGATCTATTTAACGCAGTGTTTCTTGGACTGTGTGCGCAGCACACTAGTGCGGCGCAAGAGATTCTTAGGTGTGACTCGAAGCATTTTGGAATATTAGAAAATAAGCCACTTTTATTACACATAGGCAGGCATGCAACGGGCAAGCTTGTGAGATTTGGGTATCCGGTATTAGACTGGTAATAATATATATTGTATTTGCCTTATCGCTGTAGTAAGGGTGATTGTCACGGTCTAATTTTATGTCATAATGTATTTGTAGAAAAGACTTCAATCTTCCACCATGTTGACTTGCGCGTTCAGTTATCGTTAGGCTAACAGTAAATCAATTTTGGACGAGTCTATCTGCTTACAAATTTTATTCCATCATCAGTGCAAAAACCATCAAAATAACCTAGCCATTTGCATCTTCATGGATCTCTGTAAACAGATTTTCGGCTATGACTGAAATTAAAAGCAAAAAAGGGAGCGACGGAACCTATTTTTAATTGTTTCTCAAAACAGGCACACACATAGCATTAACATTTGTAGAATAATTTGTTTAAAGCTAACTTTATTTTTCTACAAATGTCCGCAATCTTTTTTTTATTTGCTTAGTGCGCCGCGAGCAAAAAAAAATGTTTGAAAACTACTGAATTATCAAAACAGACCTTCTTCAGTAAATCTAGACGAAATTGTTTGGACAGCTGGCTCAGGTGTAGTTTGGAAAGCTGGCTCAGATGTAGTTTGGGCGGATGGCTCAGATGTAGTTTGGACGGATGGCTCAGATGTAGTTTGGACAGCTGGCTTAGATGTAGATTGGACAGCTGACTCAGATGTAGTTTGGACGGCTGGCTCAGATGTAGTTTGGACGGCTGGCTCAGATGTAGTTTGGACGGCTGGCTCAGATGTAGTTTGGACAGCTGGCTCAGATGTAGTTTGGACGGCTGGCCCAGATGTAGTTTGGACGGCTGGCTCAGATGTAGTTTGGACGGCTGGCTCAGATGTAGTTTGGACAGCTGGCTCAGATGTAGTTTGGACAGCTGGCTCAGATGTAGTTTGGACAGCTGGCTTAGATGTAGATTGGACAGCTGACTCAGATGTAGATTGGACAGCTGACTCAGATGTAGTTTGGACGGCTGGCCCAGATGTAGTTTGGACGGCTGGCTCAGATGTAGTTTGGACGGATGGCTGAGATGTAGTTTGGACGGATGGCTGAGATGTAGTTTGGACAGCTGACTCAGATGTAGTTTGGACGGCTGGCCCAGATGTAGTTTGGACGGCTGGCTCAGATGTAGTTTGGACGGCTGGCCCAGATGTAGTTTGGACGGCTGACTCAGATGTAGTTTGGACGGCTGGCCCAGATGTAGTTCGGACGGCTGGCTCAGATGTAGTTTGGACGGATGGCTGAGATGTAGTTTGGACGGATGGCTGAGATGTAGTTTGGACAGATGGCTCAGATGTAGTTTGGACGGCTGGCTCAGATATAGTTTGTGGAATAACAGTATCTTCGGGAGTTGTCACTTTTGCAGAACTAGACGAAGCGGGTACTGATGAAGTCTTCACGCCGTTCACAGTAGAAAAGAACGTTTCGCGAGTTGTCCAAGGAGACTCCGCAGGACCAGTCGTAGCGGTGATCGAAGAAGACTTGACGCTTGCGAATTCTGTGTTAAAATAGGATTTATTTTAAAAACGAGGCTGTAAAACTGATATGCACTTTTGGATTTTTGTAAGATGTCGGCAATATTAAATCTAAAATTTCTCTGTTTCAAACAATTATTAACGAACGACTTATGCAGCATCTCTACATAATATTTCTTATTAATGCTGAACAAAATATATTCATAATAACACTACTTATAACAGGGTTGTGCAACAGGCGGCCCGTGGGCCACAACCCGGCCGGTTAAGCCATAAGGTGTGGCCTTCTCAGGTGTGGTAAACTCTCAAAGTTTCCCCATCAAGCATAAATCTCAAGCCGACAGTTTATTTTCAAAAGTGCGCTCACATGAGTAGAAATACATGTAAAAATATGTTTGTTTTTTTGCTCTTGTCGATGCGTTAAATCTTTCGCAATTTTCAACGTTTTTATTACTGTAATTTAAATTTTTTAATCCGTTTTGTCATTCATTTGGTTCCGAATTAAGTCGTTGTGTAGATGAAAAATCTGAATTTTTGTGTGGCGCAGCTAAACGTCTGAAGTTGGTTATATAGCACACCGACAAAAAAGTTTTGCATCCACGGCCAAAAACAACCGAAAATGAAACAAGAAGAGTTTATTTACCTTGTGGCTTGGTTGTTTCTTTTACATCTGTGGTAGAGGTGTGTATTATGTTGTTTTGTGTTGTCATTGCTGTTTTGGTTTTCAGTTTTCCTTCAAGAAGGGTTAGCATGCTGGCCAACTGGTTGATGTGCTCTATAAATAAATAAAAATCGGTAATTATCAAACAATTTATCAATCCTTTGTTAGTTAATCAACCATTTGTCGCTTGGTATATTTTAAATCAAATTTTTTTTTTAGAAAAATGTGATATATTATCAGATAAATTTATTTTGTCTCAATATTGAAATTTAATTTAAAAAGATTCTATTGTTAAAGTTTACGATTCGATAAAGCCATTATTTCAATTATAGGAATAAATAAAATGTTGAAATATAGAGTATTCCGTTAATATAAAGATAAAATAACTAAAACTGGGAGACTACAATCCTGGGGATATATTTCTTACCCAACATTTACTAAACCTAGTTGTATAAATCAGGGAACATAATTTAAACAAGAGAGCTACGCCCAAATATATGGACACGTCTGTTCGCAGTACAGTACGGTTTACTGTACCGTCAGATCACAGTCTACAAATATATTCGCACCAAGCGAAGCAGTACAGTCGGACACAAAATGGCGTCCGATGTCCACAGAACGTTCAGTGACGTCATAGCAAACAGAAACAAATCTCACAGAGCTAACAAAAATATTTGAAATAAATAAAAGTAATAGCCTTCTGGAGAAAAATTTCATCTTTAAGCAGTAAAAATTTCAAATCAAATGGTCCAGTAATCGAAGAGAAAGGCGATTTTTTAGATTTTCCACTAGGTGTCTAAAAAGTGTCAAAGAACAACAAGACCAACAACAAGAACAACATAATAACCAAACGATCGTTATGTCCACTACGTGTCCAATAAATATAAAATAACCAATTCCGATTGGGCTCACAGTTGAATCGTTAAAGTGTTCATTATGTTACGAACCTTCCAAAGCTTTTTTTCTGTTTCTGAATTCTTCATTCTTAAAACAAAAATGAATATAAAATTAGAAATGAAAACGACTTATCTGGAACCCCGTAAACTTGCGAAAATTTAAAACTTATGTGACGACATACTGCGGTTTTTTTGGGCGCATAATGTTTATAGAATTTTTAAATTTTGAATAAACTAAGTCTAGTAAATGATTTTCCATATATTATAAATGTCGCCAGTCATTTTTTTAAAACAAATAAATCTGTGAAATTTAGCTACCATGAATATCTTACCATTTCGCATTCCCCGAATACTCTCCACGCAAGTGTATTGTTACACAGCATTGGTGCCCAGCATTTCTCTCCTGTTGAAGAAAGATATATATTGAGATAAAACAACAACAAATCAAGAATATTGTTTGTCCTAGAAATGTAACAAGTTATTAATAGTAAAAAGGTGGTAATTTTACAAATATTTCAATAGTACGCAATCGCTCGAGTTGTCTACTTCCTAATGTAGCTGTGACGTAATAGCCGTACAAAACATAAACGTAATAACGAACGCTATGTTTGTCAATCCACAATGACCTCAATCAAATTAGATTATGCCGAGGCTACGACAAGCAGGCAAATTTTGCCGTTCTTGAGGGGATTGGGAACTTTCTATTTGCTGTATTATTGCTAATAATCGGTAGTTCACTTTTATTACTATAAAACTTATTCATGCACGCATTATGAACTACTTCAACAGCACAAAAGCGATGGTGCGATTTTCGCATAACGTTAGATAAAAATTGTTCAGAGATTTAATAAACAACTTTCCGATACCTTTTAATTATAATGAGGGGGATTAAATGTGTTCAAATAGTCGACAGGAAGAATTTGACGAGAAAGATTTACAACCCCTGCCTTTAACTGAATTGAAGTTGTATTCTAGGTCTAAATAAAACGCGTTTTCTACACGCATAAATCTCCTACGCAACAAAAAAATTGGAAAATACATCGACCAAGTAAACCTCAAAATTAAACAGAAACAGTTATTTAAATCAGGGGTGTGCAACCTGCGGCCGCAAAAATGTGCGTCCCGCGGAGAAGTGCTTATTTCAAAGGGTGTGCGCCCGCGAAACAAGTTTTTATTTTAGGTCAATCGGTTAGAAGCGAGTATTTCCAATTTCTTTTCGTCGCGAAGCTCATACCCGAGTCCAATTTATTATTAATGCTAACGACGCTATACTTGCCTAACAGCTACACGTACGCGTACAACGCACGTCACGAGTTCAACAACCAAACTTTTTGTGCCTACAAGAAAGCCTATGTTAAATAAAGGTGTAGCCAGCGGTTTCACCCAGTTATTTTTATCTGGCTCTCCTGTAGGTTGCACACCACTTTTTCATATCATTCATTCCCCAAAATTAAATGCAATTACGAAAATGTTTCTGAAAATAGAAAAGATTAAATAGCGGTGACTTCGTTGTCAAGCACACTTCCATTCATTCGTCAATTCATATAAGAACAACTGGTTTACGTGATTCTACTTTTTTTGCGCAGCATAGCGTGAACGCGACAGTGCACCTGCAACCTTACGAGTTTACAATGTTAAAAACAAAACAAACATAAAAACGCGAGTGCAATTTGATAAAACGATATAGTCACGTGACACCGACAAAATCAATTGAAGGTAAATATTGAAAACCACATAGTTTTTCATCAAATAATTGTCATTTTCCGTAATTTTTGTGAAAAATAAGAATTGAAAACTGATTTTTTTTCTATGTTTCAAAAACCGGATTTTATTTCGTAGTTTTCATTCATTTAGTAAAATGCTCAATTGCGTATGAATTTTTAAATATAATGAGATACACAGGAAACATGTTATCGCGTACTTTTGTTCAATATAATTGTCTCTCTAATACCATGATAAAATTGGAAACAATTACAAAAACGACAAATAGGAATAGCAAAATATTTTTCAACGAAATTGAAAATATATTTGTGAGCTTTCGTTAGATCATATTTGAACTTTTTCTGTATACTAACGCTTATCAATATACTTATTTCGTGGAACGAGCTGATTTTATTCTTTTTAATACCAACTCGTTAAAGCATCTTAGTGCCGACAGCCTCCTATGAGTCCGGAGTAAGAAGAAATCAAAAATAAAGACTTGCAGTTTATGCCACAATATTCTATATATACAATATACAAATTAAAAATCATTCACGTTATAATTCAAATATTACTAACCTTTAATCAATGAAAAAAATTCAATAATCAAGAGAAGTTTGGTTAAAAGGACTCGCACAGGAACTTCCATTTTGAATTTGAGGACTTTGCCAACCTTTTTTTTTTGGAACATGAGATTACCTTTCTTTGCTTGAAATTCGATCCTTTGATTTGATGAGTTTGCAGTAGAGTGATACTGAACATTCTCTGCATCGCATTATATTCTATGCGAGCTTACTCATGGCTCACGGGAAGCGGAGAGTAGTATTTATTTCTCTTCTTAAAAAATAAAAAATGCATTTTGTCACAAAATAGAAGTACGAATTTAGTGGGCGCATCTCTCTTTCTATCTTCATGAAACAGCACTATGATTGATGCTTCCATTCCGCACGTACAGAGTATTGGGGGAACTTTAATATAAGTTTGGCACTATATAGAATATTGTCGCTACCATGAATATTTTTTAGAAATTTTTAACAGCTAACGCATTGATCATTTATTATGAGAAATTGAAACAATGTACAGGAAAATTAAAATTGAGATAGGATGACTGTATATTTAATTTTCTGAATTTATTCCCCCTTACCTCGTTGCAAAAAGCGCAGGTGTGACAATAACATCGACGAAGTTTAACATATATACGTTAATTCGGTAAACAATGTGTTCAAGTCTTAAAAAATGAATTGGTAATGAAATAAATAGGTCTGATTAAGATAAATGAAGAACTGACTTCATGGCCAATTGCAACGAGATCTCTAGTTTTTATCAAATGTAATGTTTTTTCTGGATAACACTCGATTGTAGAACAAACTCGTTAATTCGAAAATTCAACAAAAATGATTGGAATACCTAACTATTTCAGCCCTTGGATATTCGAATGAGTTGGCCAGTCCAAGGTTACAAATATTTTGACTCGATCGTATGCTGGACGATCAGGGGCGTGACTATAAGGGAGTCGGCCTGAACAAGTTGTTAATTAAGGACGAAAAGCTGTAGAGTTCTCGTTATTACACATTTTATTCTCGATGTTCGTTATTTATGTTGACATTACGTTCGACTTATTCATTCTCATGTATAACAACACCAATGACATGTTTACACCCCGGATTATTTTCAAGTTTTTTTCATGAAAGGCATCATTATCAGAAACTTGACTTGGGCAAACAAAAAACGTTTGGCAGGCTCCTGAGGTCACTGTTAGGACACGTCAAAAATCTTTACCATTCAACAGAGATCATACCCGTACAAAAACCAAATAACAATATTGGCAAATACGAGTTAAATTGCTGATTATTTCTTATTGTCTTATTGAAATGCAAAATAATCAGATCCCGGCGTATTACCCACACAGTTTGGTTTAAACTGTTTAAACTAGAAGATAAACATCAATTACATAAAAATGGCAGTAAATATACAAAAAATATGAACTGTATTGCATAATCCATTGTTGTGATTAGATCATGAAATTTAATGAGTTGAAATTATATAAAAATAATTTTATAATAGCTAACAACACTAATGTACGCGATAGCTAGAAACTATTGTTTAGTCATTTTGGTTGCATTATGCAACGTATCCTTCCTTTGTGGACGCACTCACTTGGCATTAGGTTAATGCCAGGTCAAAAAACCTAGTTAACCGGCGCTCCGAAATATTCAAAACCTATTGAATGAATCAATTTTGTTAAAGATTCAACTTTTGACTGGCAGTGTCATGTCAACTCAAACTCGTTGACCCGATGTACTGAGAATTGTATTAATTTCCAGAACTTCAATTTTCCAAAACATATTCTTGATTATTGCACCAATTTTGCAGAAAGTCAATAATTGAACAAAGTCATCCACATCGCAAAATCGCATATATATAAAAGTTAAGATTTTTAGCGAGAGGATGGGCTACGCCTATGATTTAGGCGAAAAAGTATCTGATATATCAACAATTAAAACGCTTTATGGATGATATAAAATTGGCCACTGCATTAAAGTATCATGGCAGGATTCCATTGTTCATACTTGTTGTACAGAGTATTCAGTAGCTTATCTACGTAAAATGGCGCCAATGACAAATCTTAAAAATGCGCCCACGTGATTGTTGACCGATAATTTTTAAGGACAATTGTTGAATTGAGATATTTGTACGTTATTATTTAAGTAAAAATACAAGTTTCAGATCATATATTTCCATTTCGAAATTGTTTTATTGAAACATTTTGCGCTCATATTTAAACGGTTTCGTTCGCACGAGCCACGACGTTAGATACGCCTTTGTGTATATTCGATTCATATGAGAAAGCAGACTTTTATAAACTATCTACGTCTTACGGGCTTGCTATCCTAGACCCGATACATTGAACAAACTTGTGGTGCGGTGTCTAATAGTAAGACACGAAATGCACTAAAATAATGAAAGTTATAGTGTAGTTCAGGACTGTTGGGTCGAAGTGGAGGGCCAACATTGTAAATTTTCTACAATCAAAGTCAAAATAAAAATTTGCTATTTTCAATGTTGATAAAATAATTCAAAATATGAGATAGAAACAAAGTATTTTCACTCAGCATTACGATACTGGTACTTACCTTCCGATCAATGTTATCCTCTGTGACGTGAGTCGCCTCCATGGTAACCACTTGTAACTGTGCACAAGGAACCCTCATGCGGTGCATAATTTTGCAATCATATTTGTGCTGTATATTTGATGATAAATGTACTAACTTATATTTATGTAAAGTGTAAATATTACTTGTTCTGCACGAAATGCATTGCGAAGTGCTTATAATACATAACAATGAAAAACAAAAGAAACAACCAGATATCGGGAGTCGAAGTGGAAATTTTTTTGGGGTCGGAATCGGTTGTATATTTTCTTCTAGTCCATAACTATGAGTGTTTAAGTTATTCTAACAAGAGGAAACGTAACAATTTAGAGTGGAAAGAACAATTTTAAACTCTTCCCATAAACGATACACGGAAATGATTAACAAAACTAATCCCATTTAAAATATGACAAATCCAACAAATATTTTCTCTGACACCACTATAGAGGAGGCCAGATCCAACGCAACACACATACAAACCGCCAAATAAGAAGATATCGGTTTCTTTACGTAAATACATTTTTGCAGAGTGCAGAGTAAAATAATTGAAATTTCATATAAATAATTATCATAGGTGAATTAATTCATTCAGAATGAAATTTTATTTCATTGTTTAAAAGCAACAGAATTCGGCGGTCCAGAAGTATGTGTACCAATATGGATGTAACAAATTTTGTTCGTCTATTTTACATCAAGTTGTGAAAAGGAACTGAAATCTATGGGCAGGGGATATATTCACTTGGCTAACACAGACAGTCCCCGAATTCGTAATAGAACTAAAATAGGGAAAACGGAATTAAATTATGCCCTAACCTGGTACACATATTTTGGTAGTACCCAGAATTCTCCATTTTACTCACAAAAATTACAGCTCAGTTGCGACACATAGTGGATCGTGTATGTAGAAATAACACTGCGTCTGATAGTCATAGAATGGGAATTGTATTGTACATGCGCTTCGAAGTCTTCAAAGTCTTTAGAAATTAGTATAGAATGATGGATTTGTGTAGAACTGTAGGTGATGACATTTCTCAACATACAGATTTGGAGTCGAAGCAATTTTTATCTGAATTTTTTTAGCAATAAAAGCTGGCATTAGCTATAGGTATGAATAAAAACTAGAACTGGGCGTTTTCGAATACCTGATGATTATAGAATCGATCCGAATATATATTTTTTTAATTAAATCGCATCTCGAATCATCAGAAGAAATGTGATTTTCATGGTAATGGGTCCTTCAGACGCACAAATTACTAAAATCATAGAATCCATCACTCAAACAGTTCTCTTAGCGTTCGCATACAATAAGAAATATGTTTCATCAATAACTCATTAGGAGTCTTATGAAAGAATTTTATTGTAAAAATATGATCTCAAAACAAAAACATGATGACGGCAATTTGAATTTTTGTCAGATCCGGATCGAAAAATTTACTATCGTCAATAGAAACATGTTTTTAGGAATTCGAAGTAATTCAAGCCAGCACTTTAAGAAAATTACTCAACCGTGTGGCAGATCAGGGAGAGAAAAAGTAAATTAACCAGTTGAAAACATATATGCACTCAAGCCTCACAAATTAAAATAGAGTGTGTTCGTTTCCATTCACCTACGCGGAGATTTACGACAACCACCGGGTAACATTGTGACGTCTAAGATGACCATCATCATATATCCCAACTAATTTATTGCGATTATCTCCTCCCTTATTGTGGTGCAAATTGAGGCGGCGGTAGTGAAACTTGAACCTCGGGACCTTGTTTTGAGACAGTATAAATTGCGTTAATGAAATAGCTGTTTTGGCTCTCAGGACTTTTTGAATATAGCGTGCACGTTTTACAAATTTGTAAATTCCTTTTTAAAATTTCTGTATTCGGGGAAATGTTCATTTCCTAATGTTAAATTGACCAAAATGTTCGAAGTCAAAGTTAGGGTTTCGGGCACTCACTGAATATTTGGCGGTTTGATATGGAATAATTTTTGCGATTTTCTATTAACGTTTACAAGATCCAAATATAAAATAGTTCCTTAATAAAAAATATGAAGCAACTTGATGAATGGCTATTTTTTTTTATCAAAAATTAGAAAAGTAAATTGCGATGATAATTGAACATGCGCTGATTATTTGGTTTCTGCGAGACTAACTACTTATCCTTCTTCTATGCTTTTGAGAAGTCTGACCTTGGTCAGACGAAACGTTACAAAAATATATTTGTGTTAGTGTGCAGCAAGACTCTTGAATCACTTAGGATAATTGAACATGTTGGTAATAAAGTTAGCCGGAATTTTTAAATTTCGAAGTGGAATATTTTTAAGCAAAACAATCTATCCAAAACAGAGAATAAAAGCTCTATAATAATGGAAGAAAGTGAACAAAAGACCTAAACGTTATGAGATTTTCCTCGTAGTTTATATTGTTAGATCTTTTTTTTTGATGCAGAATTGGAACAGGGTGTTATAACTTGCTTGAAATGTCAATTTCGGAAAATTACAAACAGTCCTATTTGTATACTCGCCTTGTATAAGAGCAGATAATTTATTTGCTATTTCCGTAAAGTTTAAAACAATTATCCTGATAATTATCATGCTCATGACCTCGAGTGGTATAAATAAATATTCATTCAAACAGCGGAAATATCAAAACGGGATTGAGAAAGCTTGATGAAAAAAACGATAACAAAATGAAAAATATTGACAGTTTCGGAAAGTAGGGTGAGAATAAGTGATAATTCGGATTATGACGTTCGTCTAGCTTTAATAAAACTATTCGACTAAATTTTTATTTTCAAACAAAAAATCGCGAATATCTCGACCAAATTAAGTCTCAATCAACTACAATACACAATCTATTGAGAAAAACCACGGAACAGTCTGATGAGATCAGAGAATTGAAAAAAAGATGGCGTAGTAGCGTGATACTTGTTATAAATGATTGATAAATACTTGTCTGGCGCCACCTGTACGTAACTTTAAATTCTTTCTGTCATTTCCATCAACAATAAATCATACACAAGCTTTCAAAGCGCAAAGTTATTCTGAAAATT